TATCACAACATCTAATTTGGGAATGGAGGTGGAGGCAGTCTTTCACTGGCTTGAGGATCAGCTGTACATACATGCCATGATTGTAACTGATTGACAGAGTATGTTGAGAAAGATTAAGACAGGCATGCTTCGTGCAGAGTGGCAAGCATCACTTCAGAGGTCTTGGGTATTTAGCATCCATTAGATTTTTTCTCCAGGTGATGCCGGTGTGGTGGGAAATGAGCAGGCAGATAGACTGGCTGGCTCTGCACCACGTCGTGGTGAATTGATGTATGACAAGCTAGATATTATAAGGGCCTTTTGGGGACAAGTGAACAATGCGGAGGCGCAAATAGATCATTACGGTTTGAGGAAAATAGTGCTGTGAGGAGTTACCAAGGGATCTGGCCAATGCTCAACACAGGGAAAGGATGAGACGGATATACAATTGGACTGTTACTGGTACCATCAGATTTGGAACTGTTCACTTGCTGCTGAAGAAGGTGACAGAGCGCTTATGGGAGTGTCCCGATTGCTGTGGTGTCGATCCTTGTTCCAACATTCTGGCACTGAGAGCAGGATGACACTGCCAGTTGTTACAATCAAGACAAATCACCTTTTTTTAGACACTGAAAATTACACCATCTTTCCACTGTTGTGGTGTAGTGTTGTTTTGCCAGATTTTGTGAGTCAGCTGTAGCAGACGCTTTAAGGTATTATCATCTGCTGCTTCAACCCTACCAGACCTGAGGCCCTGAACCTAACTGCCCCCTATACCAGAGCTCCTGGGCATCAACACGTAAAAATCAACATGATATACAAAAATATTAGTTACATGCAAACAAGTATTTAGAATAAGTTTAAACTTGGAGACATTGTAGAAAATCAGTTTACGTTTCATCTAGCGCCAATATTCCACCTTTGTGTGCAATTCCACTCAGAAAGATCTGCATTGTTTCACAAAGGGGCACCTGATGTTGCTGTTTGAGGGACACACCCCTTTCTCTTACTGTCGATCTAGTTTTAAATTTATAATTTTCAAGACTCTCCTCATCACTCTGACTGTATCACTTCAACTAGAAACGTATTCCCCTCATCACTCTGACTGTATCACTTCAACTAGGAACGTATTCCCCTCATCACTCTGACTGTATCACTTCAACTAGGAACGTATTCTCCTCATCACTCTGACTGTATCACTTCAACTAGGAACGTATTCCCCTCATCACTCTGACTGTATCACTTCAACTAGGAACGTATTCCCCTCATCACTCTGACTGTATCACTTCAACTAGGAACGTATTCCCCTCATCACTCTGACTGTATCACTTCAACTAGGAACGTATTCTCCTCATCACTCTGACTGTATCACTTCAACTAGGAACGTATTCCCCTCATCACTCTGACTGTATCACTTTAACTGGGAATGTATTCTTCACGAAACTCTGACTCCTCAAGAGTCTAAATCAACCAAAGTATTGATCACCTGTTGGACTGTGAAAAGCCTAGACCTACTTTACTTTCCTGTCGAAGTGCCTGGTTCATCAGCCGCTCGTTTTATTGTGAATTTTCATAATTTTTCCCGTCAAACAACACAAAGAAAATCTAGACACATATAGGCAGCATTTCGCAATGACTAACCACAAGGTCTGATTACGATTGGCTAGTTATTTTTAGTTTGTGACCCATTGTTTTCTCATAGTACGCAAATTCCCGACATTTAGGGACAGTGGTTTAGCAGCAGATTAGGAAATTCCCGTAATAGCTGGCCAGTGGTCTAGTAGAGTTTAGCACATTTATCCTGAAATATTGTCATCACCAACAGCTTGTTTCTCAATGTCCCACAGAAACCATATAGTGAGGACATGGTAATTTTTTCCTCCAGGTTGGGAACAGTGACAGGCTATGGTCTATTTAATTAATATTTATTTAAAATGTTCTGCCCATTGTTGTTTTTGCTTGTCTTTGGATAAAAGTAGTTTACCTGGTTTGTCTTTGATGGGTGAATTTAATGTAAGTGTGTGATTACATAATTGTTTCATCATATGGAATACGGCTTTGTTGTGTCCAGTCTGGGCAGCTGTTTCAGCATCAGAGGCCAGGCTGTGAATAAAGTTCTGTTGATTTGTTTGTGCAATTGATTTCACCTCTTTATCCAACACAGTGTTTATGTTTTTGGGTTTCGTTTTAAGATGTCTCTTTTGCGTATGGGAGCGTTAGGTTTGCATGTTTTCTTTCTTGTATCTTCGTCCAGGTGTTATCGCTTAGACACATCTTCTTCTATCTTTGTATATAGCCTAATGTGTTAGTTGCATCATTTTTCAAGGTGTTTTTCTGGAAGTCCCAATTTTCTTCTGTGTTATTCCTCATATTCACATGCTCATTGTACTTTCTTGGTTTGCATAGATGTTTTGTAGATGGTAATTTAATTTAATTTGGTGCTCTTTTATCAGAAGGGACTGTGAGTTGAATGCTGTATATACAAGTTAGGTAACTTCCCAAGATCGTACTAGATAAGATAGAATTGAAAATGAAATAGATAACAGCCTATCTGAAGACATTTTTGGTTTCTATAAAAGTGATGACATTAAAACGGCTATAATTTGTCTTAAAATGGTGATTGAAAAAATGAAGTAGTTGAGACAAATATTTGGGCACGTTTTATAAACTGCAAGGAAGCATTTGGCAGGATGCAATGTGCAACATGAAAGGCTAGTTGCATGTCATCAGATACATGATTAGATGGGAAGAATGTCAACTGTGTAGGAATCTATACTGGAAACAAGTACCAACTGTAGGATATAACAACATTGACTCACCACAGAGAGAGAGATACAGAGAGAGAGAGATACACAGAGAGTACAGCAGGGATGTGTGCTGTCATAATCAGGAAACCTTTTAACAATTTGCTGACCAATTTTGACAACTATCGAATTTCTGGCCATATCCCCTGGTGACTAACTTCGATGATCGTCGAATTCGCGATATGTAGTCTGCTGACAGACTTCCCTACCAATAGTTTTTTAATTCAACCGCATCCTAGTGTTTTTATTATACCAAGATGGCTGTGCCCACAATCGAAGCCGCTTTGAGCTGATACAAGCATTGTTTTTTGTGAAATTTTGATAATTTCCGGTACCATCGCAAATTCAGCCTTTTTCATCATGTCTGATGATGAAAACCAGACCAGTAGTTTTGATTATTCGGAATCTGCTAGCGAATTTAGCGCTGAAAACAATAATTCCTAGATAAGTAAAGATTCACTTCCTAGATAAGTAAAGATTCACCTGTGAATGTAATGGTCATATTGCTACTGAAAGTAGCGATAACGATGATAGACAACGTCGGAGTTGATGTAGGTGCATCTGAAGACAGCAGTGGGCGTGGCACAAGAGACCAGAACATTTCTACAGCTGAAAATGCTGTTTGTAAATGCACAAAGGCTGCTCAAAATGAACCTGTTAGGCTTAACAGTCTTCCTCCATACAAAGAATAACAAGGTGCCATGCCAGACACATTTGGGTGTGCGCCGATTGTTGTTTTTGAAAAAAAAAACTAATTAAAACTGAAAAAGGCAGATTGTCTTGTTTTGTGTAACAAAATATAAAGGCATGTTGGGCGTTACCTGCCATGACACTAAAGGAGTTCACATAATATCTACTGTTTACTTTAGTGGTGTCCCCCCCGCCGAGAACTGCTACTGTCTGTTTGAACCTGTCCCACTCGTCCATGTTGTCCATTATTATGAAAGCTAAGTGATTTTGTGTATTTGTGTGGTATTGTTTGATTTGTGTGGTTTTATATCTTTTAGTGGTTTTATAGACAATACAGTTAGGAAAAGTGGAATTCTTGAAGGCAGAATAATAAATAAGCCATTTCTTGCAGAAAAATACAGCAAAAGGGGGGGGGGGGGTGGGTGGGTGGGTGTTGATCACTTTAGCCAGCTGGGTGCAAATTACCCCCTACCTACCAAGATCCTATAATTGGTACCTGCCGTTATATTATTTGTTTATTTTTGGTTGACACTGCTCTGGTCAATAAGCAGATAAGCTACAACACTGCCAACTCTGTATAAGGTTGCAGCCAAGAGGTTCAGGCAGGATATCAATCTTGCTATTTTTTGGCCTGCTGTTCTTGGGCACAGTGTAACACCTTCAAGACCACACATCACAGAATAACGTGAGCGCCACTCTTATTTTAAATATAAAAGCCAATGTACAAACCAGACTGTTAAGTTTGAAAGGCTGCAGATAAAAGGAGCTAGACTTGCATATACTGCCCAGGTTGCAATACACCTCTATGCTTGATACCCTGTTCAAGCTATACCATACGGTTGAGGATTATCAACATCCCTGATAAAAAACACATAGGGCTACTGCTACAGCTTCAACTCCAGTTAATGAAGGAAGTAGCTCAGACTTCAACAAGAAGAGCTTTTATAATCAAGCATTCGCAAATGCTTATTGTAACATGGCAAATAAACACAAACGGAAAAAAAATCGTCAGTTCATTCACATTTGTATTTGCTTTTCATGTTGAAATATTTGGTCAGTATTATTGCTCCTATTTAGCTGATTTGATTCATCATCAATCATGTCCCTAACATTTTATTGCACAGATATTAAACAAATTCACTAAGAAAAAGGTGATGGTTTTAGAACATCTCCAAAAAAGTTCTATAAATAGCCAACCAAATTAAAGATGAGCTCCATGATCATGTGACGTATTTGCATAATATATCTTTTTTCATATGTAGCAACCACTCGCAATGATGCTTTAAAGGTTTTCAAAACCCTACGCTTGGTTTGGGGGGGGGGGGGGGGGATTTTTTTCAATGGAAACGATTGGTCAAAAGTGAACGTCACAGTAGACAGATAATAGAACAAGTAGGAAATTTTTCCTGTTTGACATGTTATGGCAGATGTGAAATGAAGCCACAAAGACAGAATGGTAACAAATATTGTTAGCATATTTCTGCCATTTTTGGGGGGTTGACTTTGCATTTAACTTTAATATTGCAGATCACAGAAAAGAGAATGTGGAAGCGGCTGTATGACCAACTGGGAGGTAACTCCAGCAATACAAGTGCTGCAACCTGCACAAGGAAACACTATGAGAGGTAAGATTTGAGATACATTGTGCTGGCACTCAGATAGGACATTGTGTTGGCTTGTACACACAGACATGGACATGTACTGGCTTTTGCACACAGATAGGACATTGTGCTAGCTTCTACACACAGGACATTGTGCTGGCTTCTACACACAGATAGGACAGGTGCTAGCTTCTACACACAGATAGGACAGGTGCTAGCTTCTGCACACAGGACATTGTGCTGGCTTCTACACACAGATAGGACAGGTGCTAGCTTCTACACACAGATAAGACAGGTGCTAGCTTCTGCACACAGATAGGATATTGTGCTGGCTTCTACACACAGATAGGACAGGTGCTAGCTTCTGCACACAGATAGGACATTGTGCTAGCTTCTGCACACAGATGGGACATTGTGCTGGCTTCTACACACAGATAGTACATTGTGCTGGCTTCTACACACAGATAGGACATTGTGCTATCTTCTACACACAGATAGGTACATTGTGCTGGCTTCTACACACAGATAGTACATTGTGCTTGCTTCTACACACAGATAGTACATTGTGCTGGCTTCTACACACAGATAGGTACATTGTGCTGGCTTCTACACACAGATAGTACATTGCGCTGGCTTCTACACACAGATAGTACATTGTGCTTGCTTCTACACACAGATAGTACATTGTGCTGGCTTCTACACACAGATAGTACATTGTGCTTGCTTCTACACACAGATAGGTACATTGTGCTGGCTTCTACACACAGATAGGTACATTGTGCTGGCTTCTACACACAGATAGTACATTGCGCTGGCTTCTACACACAGATAGTACATTGTGCTTGCTTCTACACACAGATAGTACATTGTGCTGGCTTCTACACACAGATAGTACATTGTGCTTGCTTCTACACACAGATAGGTACATTGTGCTGGCTTCTACACACAGATAGGTACATTGTGCTGGCTTCTACACACAGATAGGTACATTGTGCTGGCTTTTACACACAGATAGTACATTGTGCTGGCTTCTACACACAGATAGGTACATTGTGCTGGCTTCTACACACAGATAGGTACATTGTGCTTGCTTCTACACACAGATAGGACATTGTGCTAGCTTCTACACACAGATAGGTACATTGTGCTAGCTTCTACACACAGATAGGTACATTGTGCTAGCTTCTACACACAGATAGGTACATTGTGCTTACTTCTACACACAGATAGGACATTGTGCTAGCTTCTACACACAGATAGGTACATTGTGCTAGCTTCTACGCACAGAAAGGTACATTGTGCTGGCTTCTACACACAGATAGTACATTGTGCTTGCTTCTACACACAGATAGGTACATTGTGCTAGCTTCTACACACAGATAGGTACATTGTGCTAGCTTCTACACACAGATAGGTACATTGTGCTTACTTCTACACACAGATAGGACATTGTGCTAGCTTCTACACACAGATAGGTACATTGTGCTAGCTTCTACACACAGATAGGTACATTGTGCTAGCTTCTACACACAGAAAGGTACATTGTGCTAGCTTCTACACACAGATAGGTACATTGTGCTGGCTTCTACACACAGATAGGTACATTGTGCTAGCTTCTACACACAGAAAGGTACATTGTGCTAGCTTCTACACACAGATAGGTACATTGTGCTAGCTTCTACACACAGAAAGGTACATTGTACTGGCACACAGATAGGACATGTGCTAACTTCTACACACAGACAGTGACATATGCATGTTTCTGCACAGAAGGACATGTGCTAGCTTCCACAGACAGATAGAATGTGTGCTAGCCTCTACACACAGATAGGACATGTGCTAGCTTCTACACACATATAAGACAGGGGCTAGCTTGTGTACACAGATAGGGCATGTGCTAGCTTCTGTACACAGATAGGGCATTTGCAAGCTTCTGTACACAGATAGTTTATGTGCTAGCTTCTGTACACATATAGGGCATTTGCAAGCTTCTGCACACAGATAGTTTATGTGCTAGCTTCTGTACACAGATAGGGCATTTGCAAGCTTCTGCACACAGATAGTTTATGTGCTAGCTTTTGTACACATTTGGGAACATTGTGCTAACACTGATAGGAAATTTGCTAGCACACAGATTGGGAAATATGCTAGTTCTGCACACAGATAGGACATGTGCTAGCACACATATAGAGAAATATGCTTATTCTGCACACAGATAGGACATGTGCTAGCACACAGATAGGGAAATATGCTTGTTCTGCACACAGATAGGACATGTGCTAGCACACAGATAGGGAAATTATCTAGCTCTGCACACAGATAGGACATGTGCTAGCACACATATAGGGAAATATGCTAGTTCTGCACACAGATAGGACATGTGCTAGTACTACAAACAAACAGGACTTTGACTACACTATCAGTAATTCATGCTATTGCCGGTAACTGCACTATAAGTAAGTTAGGTTATTGTCATTATCTTTGCTGTCTGTAATTGATGTTATTGTCATTAACTATGCTGTCATGTTTTTGTCATTGTCTGTACTGTCAGTTAATCATGCTATTGTCATTGACCACGATGTCAGTAAGTCACATTATTATAATTTTCTGTACTGTCAGTAAGTCATGTTATTGTCATTGACTACACTTGGTAAGTCATGTTATTGTCATTAACTACACTTGGTAAGTCATGTTATTGTCATTGACTGCACTTTCATTAAGTCGTGTTATTGTCATTGACTATGCTTTCAGTAAGTCGTGTTATTGTCATTGACTGCACTTTCATTAAGTCGTGTTATTGTCATTGACTGCACTTTCAGTAAGTCATGTTATTGTCATTGACTGCACTTTCAGTAAGTCATGTTATTGTCATTGACTATGCTTTCAGTAAGTCATGTTATTGTCATTGACTGCACTTTCAGTAAGTCGTGTTATTGTCATTGACTATGCTTTCAGTAAGTCATGTTATTGTCATTGACTACGCTTTCAGTAAGTCGTGTTATTGTCATTGACTATGCTTTCAGTAAGTCATGTTATTGTCATTGACTACGCTTTCAGTAAGTCGTGTTATTGTCATTGACTACACTTTCAGTAAGTCATGTTATTGTCATTGACTACGCTTTCAGTAAGTCATGTTATTGTCATTGACTACACTTGGTAAGTCATGTTATTGTCATTGACTGCACTTTCAGTAAGTCATGTTATTGTCATTGACTACGCTTTCAGTAAGTCGTGTTATTGTCATTGACTACACTTTCAGTAAGTCATGTTATTGTCATTGACTACGCTTTCAGTAAGTCATGTTATTGTCATTGACTACACTTGGTAAGTCATGTTATTGTCATTGACTGCACTTTCAGTAAGTCATGTTATTGTCATTGACTGCACTTTCAGTGAGTCATGTTATTGTCATTGACTGCTCTTTCAGTAAGTCATGTTATTGTCATTGACTGCTCTTTCGGTAAGTCATGTTATTGTCATTGACTACGCTTTCAGTAAGTCATGTTATTGTCATTGACTACACTTGGTAAGTCATGTTATTGTCATTGACTACACTTGGTAAGTCATGTTATTGTCATTGAATACACTTGGTAAGTCATGTTATTGTCATTGAATACACTTGGTAAGTCATGTTATTGTCATTGACTACACTTGGTAAGTCATGTTATTGTCATTGACTACACTTGGTAAGTCATGTTGTCATTAACCGCGCGTTCAGTAAGTCATGTTGTTATTGACTATACTTTCAGTAAGTCATGTTGTCATTGACGACTACACTTTCAATAAGTCATGTTGTCATTAACCGTGCTTCCAGTAAGTCATGTTGTTATTGACTATACTTTCAGTAAGTCATGTTGTCATTGACGACTACACTTTCAGTAAGTCATGTTGTCATTAACCGTGCTTCCAGTAAGTCATGTTGTTATTGACTACACTTTCATTAAGTCGTGTTGTCATTGACGACTAAACTTTCAGTAAGTCATATTGTCATTGATTACTTCACTGTCACTAAGCGTTGTTATTGTCGTTGACTACATTTTCAGTAAGTCATGTTATTTTCATTGTCTGTCAGTAAGTTATGTTACTCCAACTTACTGACCTCATTGACAGTATTCAGCAAGTCAAATTACTGTAACTGGCTAACCTCACTAGCATTGTGTCAGTAATTTATGTTACTGTAATTGACTAACCTCACTGATATTGTGTTGCTAAATCATGTTACTGTAACTGACTAACCTCACTGATATTGTGTTTTGAAGTCATGTTACTGTAACTGACTAACCTCACTGATATTGTGTTTTTAAGTCATGTTACTGTAACTGACGAATCTCACTGATATTGTGTTGTTTAAGTCATGTTACTGTAACTGACTAACCTCACTGATATTATGTTAATTAGTCATGGTACTGTAACTGATTAACCTCACTGCTATTGTGTTAGAAAGTCATGTTGCTGTAACTGTCTAACCTTACTGACATGACAGTAAGTCATGTTATTGTCATTGTCTGCCCTGTCAATAAGCTTCTAGCTGCCTTGTGACCATTGTTATCTCTGATTGTCTCAGGTTATTGCTGCCTTACGAACGACATCTAATCAAACAGAAGACTAATAAAACAAAAAAGAAAGTGAAAAAAACAATGAGCATTGAAGCTGATGTCAAACAAGAGGCTGTTGTTAAGCTTGAGGCTGGTGTAAGAAATAAAGCTGTCAAACAGGTGAGCCACACACTGCCTGTCTGAGCCACTCACTGACTGCCTCTCTGAGACAGACAGACAGAGAGAGAGAGAGACACACACACACACACTATTTCAATCACACACTGACTGAGCCTGAGCCACACACTGACTGCCTGAGCCATGTACTGTGTCTGTCTGAGCCACACACTGACTATCTGTGACTCACATTGTATATCTGATTCACAGTCTGTCTCTGATCTACACACTGATTAACTTACTGAGCCACACATTGACTGATTAAATTAGCCACACACTGACAGTCTCACTGAGCCACACACTGACAGTCTGACTGAGCCACACACTTGACAGTCTTACTGAGCCACACACTTGACAGTCTTACTGAGCCATACACTTGACAGTCTTACTGAGCCACACACTGACAGTCTTACTGAGCCACACACTTGACAGTCTTACTGAGCTACACACTGACAGTCTTACTGAGCCACACACTTGACAGTCTTACTGAGCCACACACTTGACAGTCTTACTGAGCCACACACTTGACAGTCTTACTGAGCCATACACTTGACAGTCTTACTGAGCCACACACTGACAGTCTTACTGAGCCACACACTGACAGTCTTACTGAGCCACACACTGACAGTCTGACTGAGCTACACACTGACAGTCTTACTGAGCCACACACTGACAGTCTTACTGAGCCACACACTGACAGTCTCACTGAGCCACACACTGACAGTCTTACTGAGCCACACACTGACAGTCTGACTGAGCCACACACTGACAGTCTCACTGAGCCACATACTGACAGTATTACAGAGCCACACACTGACAGTCTTACTGAGCCACACACTGACAGTTTTACTGAGCCACACACTTGACAGTCTTACTGATCCACACACTTGACAGTCTTACTGAGCCACACACTGACAGTCTTACTGAGCCACACACTTGACAGTCTTACTGAGCCACACACTTGACAGTCTGACTCAGCCACACACTGACAGTCTGACTGAGCCACACACTGACAGTCTGACTGAGCCACACACTGACAGTCTGACTGAGCCACACACCGACAGTCTGACTGAGCCACACACTTGACAGTCTTACTGAGCCACACACTTGACAGTCTTACTGAGCCACACACTGATTGTTTGCTTACACTATGTGACTTAGTGACATACTTTCTGACTGATAGCCACACAGAGCATCACCTCTGATGAGATGATCACATCTCTTTGTGAGTCAGTTTCTTCTAAGATATCCCTATCAGAATGAAAATCTGTCTATTGTGTTCTTATCATACCTGTCTGAAAGTAATCTCTTCAGCTTCCACATAATTGTTTGCCCAACAGGTGACTGTTCGTGATTCACTTCCATGCATCAGGATTGACTCTATATCATTGCTAAGGAATCTTATCTTCCAATACATTTTCCATTTGCTGTTGTTATCTGTGTGCCCAAGTACTTAAACTTGTCTTGTTGACTGATGTAATATTTTGCAGGCCATATTTCTTTATAATTACCTGTGCCGTGAAACATCGCTCCCAAACTTAATTAATACTTAAAAATTGTTTGGAAAGAAAGTTGTTCGAAAACCATATTTCCCATCAAGATAAATTTAAAATGGATTCATTTGTTTCTTGACTCCATATATTTGATCATATTAAAGTTCGTATTTAGCACTAGTTGATACTACAGTTGATGAAAACATAAAGGAAATTGTCTACAGTTTTATTATTTAAAACAAATTAAAAAAAGACATTGAATAAATAGATTAATGATGAAAATATTTCTCTTTACCTGTACAAGAGTATGTCACAGTTGTTGGTTAAACAAAAGAAACAATTTGTGACATACTTGTCACAAATAACAGCTGATACAGAAGGCTTTTGCTTTTCTGCTCCTTGTGAAAGTGTTTGAGTTCTTCCTTGATTAGCTGATCCTTGAGGTTCTTCCATGGTAAGCTGGTTCTTGAGGTTTTTCCATGGTAAGCTGATTCTTGAGGTTCTTCCATGGTAAGCTGGTTCTTGAGGTTCTTCCATGGTAAGCTGATCCTTGAGGTTCTTCCATGGTAAACTGATCCTTAAGGTTCTTCCATGGTAAGCTGATTCTTGAGGTTCTTCCATGGTAAGCTGGTTCTTGAGGTTTTTCCATGGTAAACTGATTCTTGAGGTTCTTCCATGGTAAGCTGGTTCTTGAGGTTCTTCCATGGTAAGCTGGTTCTTGAGGTCCTTCCATGGTTAGCTGATCCTTGAGGTTGTCTTTTACAGTATGCTGATCCTTGAGATGTCTTCCATGGTAAGGTTATTCTTGAGATTATCTTCCACTAACTGTTTTGTTGTTTCAGTGCTTCCATGGTAAGGTTATTCTTGAGATTATCTTCCACTAACTGTTTTGTTGTTTCAGTGCTTCCATGATAAGGTTATTCTCGAGAATATCTTCCACTAACTGTTTTGTTGTTTCAGTGCTTCCATGATAAGGTTATTCTCGAGAATATCTTCCACTAACTGTTTTGTTGTTTCAGCGCTTCCATGGTAAGGTTATTCTCGAGAATATCTTCCACTAACTGTTTTGTTGTTTCAGCGCTTCCATGGTAAGGTTATTCTCGAGAATATCTTCCACTAACTGTTATGTTTCATTTCTTCAATGGTGAACTGGTTCTTGAGTGTCTGTTCCATTAACTGTTTCCTATCAGCGCTGTCAATTTCCAGGCCCTTGCTTTTGTGCAGAGGCAACAATTAGAATAGTAACAGTCTCTGCCTTAAGTCTGCAGTGTCTTTGTCTGTTATACAGTCTAGCCACAACTTTTTACTTGCCGTTCATGGTCCTAAAAGACTTTTGCACCTACACTTTGTCAAGGACACCTGGGGTGTATTTACAGGATACAAACCACCAAAACTGAAGTATGGCATGGGAGCATACTACATTGCAGCCAAATCAAATCTATATGGGCTTGACAAATACAGAACACTCGCCTTAGAATCATCACTGGAGGTATAAGAAGCACACCATTTATGAGCTGGAGGCAGCTTCTGGCCTCCAGAGCTTGAGCCGTCAAGGAAAGAAAAGGTGCATACCCTAACAGAAAACTTTAAATGCATGAACAACAATGCACAGAATAGCCAACAACTTACCTGAAAACCGACTGAAAAGACAAAGCTATTGAAATGTACTACGAAAATTAAAAAAACCAGTGAAATCCTTTCTAAAGAGCCTTCAGTGTGGGAAATGATCCGGGCATACAGCATAGACCTACAGCCTAACTATACATTCACAACAACAATCCCTGGCATAGACAGAATGGCTAAAAATGTGACCTAGTACTGCATGCAAAGACCCTTGAACATATCTACAACTATTATCCAAAACCCCAATGGACACACATATACTGATGGATCATTAGAGGGCGAAAGAAAAACCTGCATGAGCAGGATCAGTCATCATGCTGCAAGATGGGACCACAGTAGAATCATCTTGTGCCTCAGGAAGACTCTTAACAAACTTCAGACAAAGCAGCAAGCAATTATTGATGCAACTGTGTTTGAGAAAAAAAATTACAACAGCTCCATTGTTTTTTCCTTGTGACTGCATGTCAGTCCTGCAGGTGACTCTGAGGGTTATCCATGAGACAACACGGAGAGAGAACTGACCAGCCAGCTAAACAGACTAAAAAAAAAAAAAATCAGATCATTGTCCAGTTGATCCCGTTTCACTGCAGTATACCAGGAAAAGAGCTAGCAGACAGACTTGCAAAAAATGGAATAAAGGAGAAACAACACACTCATTCATTGTCATTACCAGAAATCAAAACATTCATCAAGGGAAAATACAAGGAATTGTAGGGAGAACAAACCAACTGTAAACATTCACAAAACCCATCAGTAGACTCAACAGAAAGCAACATACAGCAGTATTCCATTTACAAACAAGACACTGCAGGCTCAACTACCACATGCATAAAATCAAGAAGAAAGTGTGCCTGTCAGAAAGGACCACTAACACCTGAGCAGATTCTGCAGACCTGCCCACTCTACTTTTAACTTTTAAAAGAAACCTGGCCTCAGGAGCAAAGTATGCAGAGCCAGCTATTGGGAACAATGAAGGAAATGCTGCTGAAATGCGAGTTCATAGAGGCAACCTACCTGATGGTGATCTGAGCATATGAAACCAAACGCAAATAAGACGAAAAAGAAGTCAAGGACACCTGACTATGCAGGACATTAAAGCAATTGTTTACTAGAATTCTTTAAATGTGTAAAGTTTCTTGAAATGTGGACTTGCCTGCTGGCTCACAGGCTGGGTTAGGGGCAGGACATAACTGCAATCACATTCCTCCTGTTAGCTCGTCCACCAAGTCTGCTCATTGACTGGGTTATGGGCAGGACATTCACTGTGGTACAATAAAATTCTTCCTTCCTTCATCTAAATAGTTTTACTATTGGCCGATTATTTTTAATTTTAATATATTTTTTTAATGCTTATTTAATTTAATTTTAAATTATTATTTTATTCTATCTTTTAGTTATGGGTCATTAAAAATTTTATTTCTACTGCTCTTTTATTCCCACTATTATTATCTGTTATCTATTACTTTTATGAATATTTTTCGAGCCATCCTTTGTTTTAATTTAATTTTATTAATTCCACCTCACCTTTTTATAGTTTCTCACTTGACCCCCTGGTGGTAGGAGCACTCTCCCCTTTATTACTGTTGTATAGTTTAGTTCTAAACATTGATTTGTGTTGTTTTGTGCACAGTATTCTGCTTCCCCATTTCATTAGGTTTTTTAAGTCATAGTTGACAGGATTAATTTCTTGGATTTAGCTTTACTGCAGTTCCCCCCTTATTTTTACCACTTGCTAGGCCTTGGTGGGCTGCCAGTTGAATGTGTTCTAAGCCCTCTAAATATGGCTTGCTATATAGTTACATTAAATTGTTGCCACTGATGTTCTTTGATAGACGAAGTTAACAGTTTTGTTTGACATCTTTTGTCTTTCAGGAGCATGGAAGTCCACACATGGAAGAAGTAGCAGAGAATGGGGATGTTGTGATAGCAATACCTGAAGTGACAGTATTCTCCAAGCCAGACTTGGAAGAAAAACAAGAGAGCTCTGAGATAGCAGCCGTAGAAGATGAAGCGAACTGTCAGGATCACACTGAGACTGTTAATGCTGGAGACAGCAGCAGCGGTCAGCACCTGACAGTTGCTGAGACAGAGCCTGTCCAACAGCATCTTCCAACATCTACAGCAGATGTGACTGTGGTACCAACAGAGAAGCCTAATCCACCATATACTAGTGAGATGTGCAGCTTGCTGCCTGTTCAACCTTCTTGCGTGTTACATACAGCTTGGCCGGTACTGACTCCAGAGGTGTTACCTGCAGCCATCTCCAGCTCCTGGAATCACTCTGGTGCAGATGTAATCTTGGCTGTTCCCAAAGATAGTGTTAAAGCTTCTGTACAAGAGTCCATGTTGTCTCTAGGCAAGAACCAAAAACCTTTGCCAGTTTCTCTTTCCAGCCTAGGCAGCTCTTGCAAGGCATCATCATCACCAGCAGTTGTAGGTCAGACTTACCAACCATCTTCACCAACTGGCCGGAGAGCCCATAAATTAGCAAACAGGGACACTGAATATCAGATCACATCTGTGCCTGTTAGCCAGGTCAGACCAGCCAACCACCTCTTACTATCATCTCAGCACTTGAACCAAAACCCATCTAGTTCTAGCCAAAACCTGGCTAGTTCTAGCCAAAACCTAGCTAGTCCTAGTCAAAACCTGGCTAGTCCTAGTCATCGCCTGGCATCACTACTACATCCAACACCTGCAGGTCATCAACACCGACAGCATTTGCCACCCGCCCCCAGCAGCGTCTATCTCCACCCATCAGCTACCAATCAGTTATCATTGCTACAAGCTCCGACATTCCCTGCACCTGCTGCACACTGCCATGTGAGAAAACGTGCATACCCATTTGAGACTTGTACCACAGCAGCCACAGCTGCAGGCACATTTCCCAGTCCCGATATGGTTCTTGATCGAATCAGACATTGCACGTCTTTTCCTATCAGCAGTCCCGTTTTGGCAAAACCCTCTGGTAGACAACAACGTTTTGATGATCCTCGAGATATTTTTAGACAGATTCCACCACAAGCCGCAGCTGCCAGCCAAATTCCCAGCCAGTCCTTGAGGAAAGAGACTCGGCTTCCACCAGCCAAACAGTCTAGTAACAAACCCAGCAACTCCGGCAGCAAACACAGCCAGCAGCAGCTGCTGCAGTCAGACAACTCATTGTCTTCCTGTGACAGCAAAGTGACCCACTCCACGAAAGCAACAAGCCACTCTAATGGATTCATTTCATCTCCACGATCTAGCAAATCAGTGGCATCAGTATCACTCTGCCAGTCACCAGCGGGGGCAAACAATGGTCGACTGACATCAGCGTTATTTGGGTCACAGTTCACAGCACTGCCAAGAGTAAGTACTAGGCAGAAATCAGTGGTGTTGTCTAGCAGTAAGTCAGAAAACTTTTTTTACCCCACCCATATTGTGCCAGCAGATATAAATCAGGAGTATTGTCTAAGGGACTTAAACCAGGTCTGTTGTCTAGGAGACAGACATCAGGAGTATTGTCTAAGGAACTTAAATCAGGTCTGTTGTCTAGGAGACCGACATCAGGAGTATTGTCTGGGAGATGTAAATCAGGTCTGTTGTCTAGAAGACAGACATCAGGAGTATTGTCTAAGGGACTTAAATCAGGTCTGTTGTCTAGGAGACAGACATCAGGAGTATTGTCTAAGGGACTTAAATCAGGTCTGTTGTCTAGGAGACAGACATCAGGAGTATTGTCTAAGGGACTTAAATCAGGTCTGTTGTCTAGAAGACAGACATCAGGAGTATTGTCTAAGGGACTTAAATCAGGTCTGTTGTCTAGAAGACAGACATCAGGAGTATTGTCTAAGGGACTTAAATCAGGTCTGTTGTCTAGGAGACAGACATCAGGAGTATTGTCTAAGGGACTTAAATCAGGTCTGTTGTCTAGGAGACAGACATCAGGAGTATTGTCTAAGGGACTTAAATCAGGTCTGTTGTCTAGAAGACAGACATCAGGAGTATTGTCTAAGGGACTTAAATCAGGTCTGTTGTCTAGGAGACAGACATCAGGAGTATTGTCTAAGGGACTTAAATCAGGTCTGTTGTCTAGGAAACAGACATCAGGAGTATTGTCTAAGGGACTTAAATCAGGTCTGTTGTCTAGGAGACAGACATCAGGAGTATTGTCTAAGGGACTTAAATCAGGTCTGTTGTCTAGAAGACAGACATCAGGAGTATTGTCTAAGGGACTTAAACCAGGTCTGTTGTCTAGAAGACAGACATCAGGAGTATTGTCTAGGACAGGGCTTTTCAACTAAGTTGGCTTAGGATCCAAAATGTTCAAAAACGGGGATCATCAGGGGCCAGAGGCCTCAGCCCCAGCATAGAAAGATCGAAAATACAATAGAGCTAGAAGTGATCCTCGGGCCACTTTCTAGGCCTTGGCGGGCCAGATTTGGCCCGCGGACCGACAGTTGAATAGCCCTTGTCTAGGAGATGTAAATCAAGGATGTTGTCTAGAAAACACAATTCACGGCTGTTGTCTGACCGACATAAATCAGGGTTTTTGTCTAACAGACATAAATCAGTGGTGTTGTTTCGCAGACATAAATCAGTTGTGTTGTCTGCCAGGTATAAATCAGTAGAGTTGTCTTAAAAAAACAACATAAATCAGGGTTATTTAATAGAAACATGTTGCTTTAACAACTGCGATTGTTTTATTGTGGGGGGGGGGGGGGGGGGTATTGATGGGCATATTATTGGACATTTCTAAGCGCCTCTTGCATTAGCTGTTTCTATCATTTTGTGCATGATTTCAAGACTGATTCCTGGATTATTTTATGTGTGTTATTTTCTGTTTTACTGATGCAGTGCTGTATTTTAACTTGTATATTTCCAGTCTTTATAGCTTCTCATCATTTTGCTTATCTATATCATTGACTGTCTGTGACCTGCAGAAATTCATGTTTTGCTGACCATGTATCATGTGGATGTATGTCTGCACACTGTTTCTAATCTGGGTGTATCTCTCCCTACTGTGTCTCATTCGAGTGTATGTCTGCATGCTGTTTCTAATCTGGGTGTATCTCTCCCTACTGTGTCTCATTCAAGTGTATGTCTGCATGCTGTTTCTAATCTAGGTGTATCTCTCCCTACTGTGTCTCATTCGAGTGTATGTCTGCATGCTGTTTCTAATCTGGGTGTATCTCTCCCTACTGTGTCTCATTCGAGTGTATGTCTGCATACTGTTTCTAATCTGGGTGTATCTCTCCCTACTGTGTCTCATTCGAGTGTATGTCTGCATACTGTTTCTAATCTGGGTGTATCTCTCCTTACTGTGTCTCATTCGAGTGTATGTCTGCATGCTGTTTCTAATCTGGGTGTATCTCTCCCTACTGTGTCTCATTCGAGTGTATATCTGCTATCGGAAAGAAGTATAATCTTAAAATTGCAAGTAGGAAATAGTTCAGGTTTTTTTTTTCTTCAAATATATGTTCTGTGCAATGGAAGTTACAGTGATAAGGATTTAGATCAGTTCTTTAAGGACCTGGATGACGAAATTTGTAAGATAAGATAGTAATGAGAAGCTGATCGTGGTGGATGACGTTAATGGTAAGGCAGGACGAGACAGAAGAACATTGACAAGATACCTAGGCAGTTATGGAGACAACAGCATAAGAAATGAAAATGGCGAAAGATGTTGGGTATATGTGCACAACATGACCTTTTTATTACCAACACCTTCTTTCAACATAGAGCTTCACAAGTTTTTACATGGTATAAATGGAATGATCCAGATACTAAGAGTCAGTGATTATATCTTGATGAGAAAAATAAACCTTCATGAAGTTACAGATTTGAGAGTTATACCAAACTTTAGTTTAGATACAGATCATAGGATGGTGATACTTGGCAGAAAAGTTATCAAACAAGAAAGAAATTTCATTAAAGTGACATAATAAAATTGAAAGAACTAGAGTGTGAGGAAAACTGGCGAACATTTCAGCAAAAATTACAGGAAAATTAGGAACAGCTTCCACAAAACACACTTGGGGGTAAATACAGAATGGGTGAATTTCAGAGACACCACTATGAAAATAGCATAAGAAATATGTGGAACTAAAAGGAAAGGTAACATAGGGCCTAAGCTCTCAACATGGTGGTCTGAAGAAATAAGAAGAATTGTGAGCAATAAAAAGAAAGCCTATGGCATTTGGCTGAGGAGTAGAACAGAAGAGGATTACATAACATACAGGATAATTAGAAGAGAAGTAAATAGAACTATCAGACAAGCAAAAAGAGATTCATGGTAACAGTTTGGAACAAGCTGGCTGAAGAAGAAAGAACAGCAGAGAAAAACTACTACATAAAAATAAAAAGCATGAGAAACAAGAATGTAGAGTACAACCCAACAGAAATGATAAATGATGAAGTTGGCCAACCTTTAATAGAACCTAACAACATTTCAGCAAGATGGAGTAATGTCTTTGAAACATTACTTAGCTGCAATAAAACAGATGAAAGCAGGGAAGAACATAAAAACAACTCGGGACTAATGGCAGAGGAACAAGAACTAGGTATATTATTAGATTAAGTAAAATATGTCATTCCCTAGACTGAAGGCGACAGGTATTGATGATGTACCAGCTGAGGCCATCAAGGCAGCAGGTAAAACGGGAGCAAAATGGTTAAAGAGAATATTTCAGATGGCATAGGAAAATCAAGAAACAGCATCAGATTGCCCAACTGCTGTCATTGTCCCGCTATGGAGAAGTAAGAGGGACTACTAATTATAGAGCAATATCGCTTCTCAGTCACACTGGGAAAATGTATGCTAAGATCATTGAAAAAAAGGAGAAGACCGTTGATAGAGTATCAACTTTCAGAAGCACAAATGGGCTTTAGATGAAACGGAAGTTGCACAGATGTCACTTACACATTGAGAGCAATGGAACACGATAAGACATGTTTGTTGACATTTATAGACCAAGAAAAAGCCTTAGCTAGAGTCGACAGGAATATGTTGTGGGAATGGATGCGAAAAAAGGGAATCAGCAATCATCTCATTAATATTTGCAAAAGCCTGTACACACGTAGTAAATGCTGCATAATATCAAAGGCAGGATTGTCAAGAACTTTTATAGTGAACTCTGGTGTGCGTCAGAGCTGTATACTATCGCTGCTTCTTTTTTTAGCATAATGAATTCAAAATGTTAGGAATTGAACTTTAATCACAAAGAAGATATTACAGAACTACTGTTCGCCGACGACCAGGTACTCATAGCAAAAATTATGGAATGCCTACAGAACCACCTAAATCAAATCAGTAACAAAGAGGAGGAATATAATATGCAAAAAAAAAACACGACGAAGACAGAGACCATGGTTATAGGAAGACAGAAAGACAATTTAGAAATAAAATTACAAAATGACACCTTAAGACAAACAGGAATTTAAGTATTTGGGAGCAATTTTCACATCAGACGGAAGACTGGAAAGAGAAATTAGCTCAAAATGTGCCAAAGCTAATCAAGTAATGGGCAACTATCTCCCCTGTTGACACACAAGCAGATACCCTGGAGTTCTAAAGTGAATCTTATCAGAACTTTTTTGGGGGCCAACACTGCTATCAGTCACAAATGTGGTCACTTACATCCTCCAATGAATGTAAAATTGTGACAACACAGATGAAATGCCTTAGAAGAGCTGCAGGAGTTTCAAGGAAAGACAAAATATGAAATCACACGAATGCTAGGAATAAAGCCAGTCTTACAGGTCATCAAAGAACCACAAGTGAAGTGGTTTGGACACCTAACAAGAATGCCCTGGTCCTATCTCCCATCGCTTAGCTGTTGTTGCAGCTTTTTTATTTGAGTTGACACACCAGCCAATTTATACTGTCATCAGTCAGGCTTTTCTGAGATTTAAGACTAGCTTGATGAGATCCTCATCCCAGGCACTCCTGATTTAGTGCAGAAGACAACAATTTGCCTCTACAAGCATTCCCGCCCACTCCTAAAATCTGTATTACACACAACATCACCCCTCCAACTCCTAACATTTGTATTACACAGAACATCACCCCTGTCACTCCTAACATCTGTATTACACAGAACGTCACCCCTGTCACTCCTAACATCTGTATTACACAGAACATCAACCCTGTCACTCCAAGTTGAGTGTGAAAGTCCAAAAATGAGGCTCTAAAACTGAAGTGTGACCCCATAAACTCCCAGCCTCAGGATTCACACTCATAGAAATCTCCATGACGACAGGCCACATTTGTGTGACTATGCTCCCAACTATGTTGGCTTTACCACTTGGTTAGTGAGTTTGCACTTGTATATTGAATATACAATCATATAAATATGTCTCTTATTACAAATAGTCAGTATAATTTTTCATAAATAATAGGCACATCAATTTCATATTTATAATAACAATGATCAGTGGTTTCGATTTCTTAGAGAAAATGTTCAAAAACTGTTCTGCAACATAAAGTTATTCAAGATAATCATGATTATTTTGACATTTGTTATCAGCATAAATATTTCAACAAACTTGTAACAATTATCGCAATAATCTGTCACCCATCAGTCTGTTGCGTGTTGATGCAAGGGTATCAACATTGTTTATGTTACTTTAGTACTGACTTGGATAATTTGCAACTTGTTATTAATTTTGATTTGATAACTCTTTAAGTCCCAAACTGTTTAGCATCACAGGCCCAGGGGGTAGTAAAGAAAGTAATAAAATCGGCGCATCATGCATTCATTGGGCTTCTAGGTAAGAACCTATGAACGTATGATGCGTTCCTTGGGACTCAAAGAGATAATCAACATCAGAAATTTGTCATCACAACAAATGAATTATGTTTGAAAGAGTAAAAGTATTCTAATCATATTTGTGGTCACATTTTGAAAGTCTTGGCAGGTTTGTTGGCACTTTTTTTTATCTTTTTGTGGCTTCTGTGTCTTTATAATCTTGTCTCATTTCTTTTTCTTTTTCAGAATATAGTTACAAAGTGCTGTCTTTTTTACAATTGGTTCAGTGTAATCTGAATCGAGACATTTTCTTGATAGTAGATCAGTAACTTGCGCAATCTAAACTTGATTTTGACTCTCAGTGGGTTCCAATGAAATTGGTAGAAATTCTTTAAGTTGCTTTAATTTTTCTTGCATGGTGTTTATCATGCCTGTATTTACTGTAAAAGTAGTATAGTATACCTTGGACTTCTGTAATTTCAATGACTGTTCTGAAGGTTGTTGGCACATGCAGCTTCATTCATTCTCATTTCATTTATCACTGCTGGTAATGATTGATCATTCTTACTCACATTCTTTCTTTCTGTTGTCATAGCCATATCATTTTCTCAGTTTAATTGATTCTCATTAATTTCTTGATCACTTGGTATTTTACATCTACAGTTTTTGCTGACAAAAATCTTGCTTGTTGACATTCATTTTTCCACTGTTCTCACATCCAGTGATGTTTACTTTCTCCCACTGCACAGTACCTTCTTCAGACACATGTCTCAGGTCTGTTCTGCTACCCAAGATTAATCCAGCTCACGGTGCCCTCAGTACTGTAGCCTGTATTCTCATTACAAGAAAATCAGTTTTAGTATTGACAACTCTGTCTCAATTGTACCAATAACATTTCTGCAATTAATGTTTGTTTTGGTGATATCTTCTCACTTGAAATAACTTTACAATTCCCTGCTTTCAAAATAAACACACCTGTAAAATATTTCAGTATCAGTACAAGTAATTAGTAACTACAATAATTGTTAAGATTATTAGTAAACTAAAATGTCTACTTGTCTCGAACCGTTATATTCTTAACACAAGTTAATATAAGGTGTCTTATGTAACACAAAGGAAAATATTATATAGAGATTAGTTTTAATCTAAAAATGAAATAGCAAAGTAAAAATCAAGGCTGTTTTCACTGTAAAGAATGAAACAACTTAATTTTCAAAAGGTCACAAATTGGTCACGCAGGCCCATCTTACATTCGGCCCTTCCAAACACCCGTCTTTCTCACTACAGCTGTATATTACCACTAAGCATGTTATATTCATATGATAATATGCATATTATGAATATCAAAGATTAGAATTTAGCTATTCAGTTAGGCACAATTATGAAATAAGATTTTATAGATATCCAGAAAGGATTTGAATAGTCCCAATGTTTAACTGATAAAGTCAGGTATCCTAAATAAATATGTTAATCCAGAAGATTTTGACAGCAAATAACTTGTAGGCACTCACTTGCATTTTTCTTCTGTCCCTCTTACACCAAAAAGAGCTCCTTTCTGCATGTGTTTTTGTGGTCTTCCTTCATTTCTATGCACCTGTTTCCTCCATCATTGTACCAGAGGGCGACCAGGTTGGCAACACACTGGACACCATTGAATTCATCATCATCTTCACAGAATGACTAAACACCACCTCCAGCTGTAGACACTTCAAAAGTTACCAGACATAAACTAGAGCAGAAATACTCATCTCACAGCAGATGCCCTCTCAGCTGTATGTACACAACTGCCTAATAAGGTTTTTCTGCCCGGTTGGCTGCCCGTTGAAACACCCACAATCTCTGAAGCTGCACTCACTTTTCCTTCTTCAAGCGCCATATGACCCAACTATCTCAACCTTGAAAACAAGTCTTCATCTTCTTAATCATTCCAAGTTTAGATAACCTGTTTCCCTCTCAGGTTCCCCAACGTTTCACACATGATTCATGCTTTTTCTTATCTAGCACACTTTCAGCCAGTTTGCACATTTGCCTCGAGTTATTCAATACTTTATTCTGTTCTTTCATACATTGAGCTTCGTAATTGAGACCATTAAACCAAACTCGGGCACGTAATTTATGCTTAGTAGTTAACCTCATTTACAAATGGGAACATTAATTAATAGTGAGAAAATGACACCTTACAATGTATCTCTATCTACTGTTTCTCATCTGGGTGTATCTCCCCCTACTGTTTCTTATCTGGATGTATCTCTCCCTACTGTTTTTAATCTGGGTGTATCTCCCCCTACTGTTTCTAATATTGATGTATCACTCCCTACGCCTGGCTCTCTAGCGTAGTTGGCTAAACCGGATTGCGCGGTGAGCGAGTGACGAACTCCTTGTGGTCCAGGGGTAGGCAGAAAAGCCACATTTTCTCCCAGGTTTACGGTATTTACAATGGAATCAAGGCCGAAAGGTTGCGATATCCATAATACTGAGCCTAAGGGTTAACAACTCATGGCTTCTGGATACTAAAACAAACAAACATCACTCCCTACTGTTTCTAATCTGGGTGTATATCTCCATACTGTTTCTAATCTGGGTGTATATCTCCATTCTGTTTCTAATCTAGATGTGTGTCACCCCTACTGTTTCTTATCTGCATTTACATCTTCCTACTGTTTCTAATCTAGTTGTATCTCTCCCCTATTCTCTCTAATCTGGGTGTATCTCTCCCCTACTATTTGTCATCTAAGTGTATGTCTCCCTACTGTTTCTCATCTGTGTTTATTTCACCATTTCTAATTTGTGTGCATCTCCCTACTGTTTCTCCTCTTTATATATGTCTCCCTACTGTTTCTCATCTGTGTGTATGTCTCCCTACTGTTTCTAATCTTGGTGTATATCCCTACTGTTTCTCAAACTGGCTTTATCTTTCTCTACTGCTTCTAATCTGGGTGTATCTCCCTACTTTTTCTAATCCCGGTGAATCTCTCCCTGCCATTTCTAATCTTGGTCTGTGTCTCCCTACTGTTGCTAATCTGGATGTTTCTCATTTGAATGTATCTCTCTGTACTGTTTCAGATTGCTAAGCCTTCAGACTTCTCCTGCCAGTCCACAAGTTTGCTGGAGCCATCACTTCCAGCGGCAGCTACTGCCATGACCTTGAACGCTCACCTTCATCCAGCATTTGTGAGTCCATTTCTGCAAACAACGCCTGCAGCAGCAGCTGCACCATCCAGCCCTGGACTGCATCTTCTTGCTGGCGCCTACACCACCCCAGCCCAAATCTCAGCATATGAAGAGATGTTACGTCAGAATGGTTATGGTAGGTTTTTGACCGCATCCACACAGAGAAAAGGATTCAAGAAAAAGTGATGTTTTCTAAACATTTTTACAGTGTTGACAGTGGAGTGTTTCATGCGTAAAGAACATTAAAGCATTTAATGTGCGAAGAACTGAAGTATATGGTGCATAAAGAAAAGTGAAACATTTCATGCATGAAGAAACATTGAAACATTTTGTGTGTGAAGTATTTCATCCATGATGAAGAGAGAATACTGGCCTCTCAGTTGGAATCCTGAGAAAGGCAAATGTTTTTATTATAAAGAATCAAAGAAAAAGGCCAAAACCTCAGGTGGACTAGAGCTGGGACTTGCAGCTGGCTCGCTGGTTGTGCTGATGATTTTGTTTTGTTGAAAAATTTCACAATCTAAACTTGTTACATTTATTATGCAAATTGTTCATTTGTTTTATAAGTGTGTGTGTTTTTTTTTTTAAATGATTGATAAGTTGATGTTGTTATTGCAACTATGTTATGGTTGATTGCTGGGCAGTCGCTGTGTTGGTTGATATTTAGAAAATGTCTGATGTTTGGGTGAAATTACTGTAAATGCCTCCACTGATTGACACAGGAGAAGATACTGTTTGCATACTGCATAATACAGTTTGGCCTTGTCAGAATGGAATGAGTGTGTACAGAAAACATTGTCTGCTATATGATTGCTGAAAGTGTTTCTGTGTGATTACTGACTGTGTGTGGCAGCTGTATGATTGCTGACATTGTTTCTGTGTGTGTGGGGCTCCTGTATGATTGTTGACTGTGTGTGTGGGGCTCCTGTATGATTGTTGACTGTGTGTGTGGGGCTCCTGTATGATTGTTGACTGTGTGTGTGAGGCTCCTGTATGATTGTTGACTGTGTGTGTGGGGCTCCTGTATGATTGTTGACTGTGGTTGTCTCATGTATGATTGCTGACTATGTAGGTATCTCCTGTATGATTGTTGACTGTGGTTGTCTCATGTATGATTGCTGACTATGTAGGTATCTCCTGTATGATTGCTGACTGTGGTTGTCTCATGTATGATTGCTGACTATTTAGGTATCTCCTGTATGATTGCTGACTGTGGTTGTCTCATGTATGATTGCTGACTATGTAGGTATCTCCGATAGGATTGCTGACTGTGGTTGTCTCATGTATGATTGCTGACTATGTAGGTATCTCCTGACTGTGTGGGTGTCTGTGGCTCATCAGTGATTTTTGACTGCATGTTTGTGGCTGCTGTATGATTGCTAACTGACTGTGTGTGTGAGTGTGGCTTCTGTATGATTACTAATTGACAATCTGTGTGTGTTTGTGTGTGTAGCTCTTGTATGATTGCTAACTGACAATCTGTGTCTGTGTGTGACTCTTGTATGAATATTCACTGATAGGATATCATACACTGATTTTTGTTTCTTTATTCTTGTTAATAAAATCAGATGTACACCAGTGCAGTTTGGTTAAAATCAGGTGACACATATGGCGGTCATCATCATCATCAGGTGCCTTGCCGACTGGCGTGAGCGATCATGCCTCTCCCCAACCTGCTATCTCCTGCAGCATGTATCAATTCGAGTGCCGACACACCTCCATGCCATGCAACAAGACTGTCAAGAATCTTCTCTTATTGTCTTCCTCTATCCCTCCTTCCACAGATTTTTCCAGTGGTCACAACACGTTCCATTTTCCCTCTTCCTATAACATGGCTGAAAAATGATGTATACAGCCATGTCTGATAACCATGGACACAGTCTGACTCAACGAGGAATCTCTTAATGATGAAAAGAGACACAAATGTTAAGCCATGATACAATGATCAATTTAAGTTCTTTAATCTCAAAAGATCTTGCAGACAGGGCATTCAGCAACGTAACAACAAGTGTATATATGCAATTTGAGGATTGTCTTTCTGAAAGTCATAATCCAGTAATGAAAATTATAAATGTTAAATCATGACTAATTGTCCACAAATAAACAACGCTCTTCTGGCATAACACTGGATTCATAATGTAGAAAGCCCCTTCACCTCAAAGCCTAATAAAAAAGGAAAATTTTCTTCTGTCCTATCTCATATTTATTACACATTTTTAAGCATGTCATATTCGGCTCTTGTATAGGTTGGTCAACCTTTTTGCTCAGTCTTCTTTTTCAACTACTATGGTTTTCTTGGGAGCCTTCCATATACGATCCTAATGTAAGTTACCATCTTTTCTCATAAGGTGTGTCAAGCAGTTTGTCATCTTGGCACGTGTTACCGGTCGGGTTCAACAAGGCAAGTTCCACAGTATCATGTACCAAGGCAAGTTCCACAATATAACATGCACCAAGGCAAGTTCCACAGTATCAAGTACCAAGGCAAAGTTAACATTAAAATTCAACAATGATGCTGTTCCACGCTTCAATACTCCAACCTTCTTGGGAGTCAAGCTTGACAGTCGTCTGACATGGAAACATCACATACTAGAAACTAACAAAAAAGCTTTGAGAAAACAAGGTGTGATGAAGAATTTGGCAGGCACCACTTGGGGAGCAGACAGTTGTGTCTTGAAGCAGGTATACACCGGCACAGTCAGACCAACTCTCGAATACGCATCATCGTCATGGATAACAGCAGCCCATTCCAATAAACAGATACTAGACAAAACGCAAAATAGAAGCCTGCGTACAATTCTGGGAGCCATAAAATCTACACCTATTGTAGAAATGGAAAAGGCAGCCAACATCATCCCCTTAGAAGAAAGAAGAAGGACAAAAGCAATTCTACATGCTGAAAAAATGAAGAGAATGCTAAACCACCCATTACACGAAAAATTGGCAGCCAGGACAAAAAACTTAATAAAGCGCACAAGCCTAAACCATCTAACGAAGGAATTTGGAAAATCATTCTCTTCACTACTTAACCAACAATGTACACCTGAAGAGCTATCTTTCGATCTCTGGGACTCCGAATTATTGACACTCAATGTGTCAACATCCATCCCGAACCTGGGAAACAAAGATGCTGAGCCCGCTTTAGTGAAGAAAGCACTCACAATGGAACACCTCAACAACATGTTCCCACAGGACAGCTGGACAAGAATCTACACGGATGGATCAGCAAAAGAGGCAACTACGAATGGTGGGGCAGGTGTTTACATAAAACACCCAGATGCCACTACTGTGTCCCTAGCAGCCCCCACCGGACGAACTTGCTTTAACTACAAGGCAGAACTCTCAGCTCTATTGATGGCAGCACAGTATATGAACAATCTGCAAATCACCGCAGGCAGGATAGTTTTTCTCACTGACTCACTGTCAGCTGTACAGGCCCTTGAGTCCAAACCTACCGACAGCACACTACAAAGTCTAACACAGGAACTTGCTATGTTGTCAAATAAGGCAGAAATTCACTTGCAGTGGATTCCGTCTCACTGTGGCATCAAAGGCAATAAAAGCGCAGATGCTTTAGCCAAGGAAGGCAGTAACAAACTACAGATCTACCAGCCACTATCTTTTCCAGAAGTCAAAACTCTCATTAAGAGAAAATCAGAAACAGATTGGAAAAACAACACTGGTTATAACTACGGAAAAGATTTTCTGAGGCACTTGAACTGAACAGACCAAGTCACAGTTTTTCGCTTACGCACTGGACACTGCAGACTCAATAAACACTCATATAAATTAGGTATGAGCCAAACAGCTCTCTGCCAGTGTCTTCGTGCTGAACAGACTTCAGAACGTGTCCTGCAAGACTGTCCTCTCCTGGCGGAGCTGCGAAGCGACATATGGCAACACCCAGTAGAACTGACAACTAAGCTTTGGGGAAACCTAAGAGACCTTGAAAAGACATCCCAGTTTATGACCCACAGTGGATTATGCGCATGACCAGAGATCGCTGAAGATGAAGATGTACCAAGGCAAGTTCCACAGTATAACATGCACCAAGGCAAATACCACAGTATCCTATGTACCAAGGCAAGTACCACAGTACCATGGCAAGTACCACAGTATCATATGTACCAAGGCCAATATCACAGTATCACACATACCAAAGCAAGTTCTACGGTATAACATGCACCTAGGAAGGTTCTGCAGTTCTACATTTACCAAGGCAAGTACCACAGTATTGTATGTACCAAGGCCAATATCACATGTACCAAGGCAAGAATCACTTCTACCAAGGCAAGTACCACAGTATCATATGTACCAAGGCAAGTACCACAGTATCATATGTATCAAGGCAAGTACCACAGTATCATATGTACCAAGGCAAGAATCACATGTACCAAGGCAAGTATCACATGTACTAAGGCAAGAATTACAAGTACCACAGTATCATGTACCAAGACAAGAATCACATGTACCAAGGCAAGTACCACAGTATCACATGTACCAAGGCAAGTACCACAGTATCACATGTACCAAGGCAAGTTTTGCAGTATTATATGTACCAAGGCAAGTACCACAGTATCACATGTACCAAGGCAAGTTCTGCAGTATTATATGTACCAAGGCAAGTACCACGGTGTCACATGTACCAAGGCAAGTACCACAGTATCACATGTACCAAGGCAAGTTCTGCAGTATTATATGTACCAAGGCAAGTACCACAGTATCATGTACCAAGGAAAGTATCACAGTATAACATGCACCAAGCCAAGTACCACAGTATCATGTACCAAGGCAAGTACCAGAGTATCATATGTACTAAGGCAAGAATCACATGTACCAAGGCAAGTACCACAGTATCATGTACCAAGGCAAGTACCACAGTATCATATGTACCAAGGCAAGTACCACAGTATCGTATGTACCAAGGCAAGTACCACAGTATCATGTACCAAGGAAAGTATCACAGTATAACATGCACTAAGGCAAGTTCCACAGTATAACATGCACCAAGCCAAGTACCACAGTATTCTATGTACCAATGCAAGTACCACAGTACCATGGCAAGTACCAGAGTATCATATGTACCAAGGCCAATATCACAGTATCACACATACCAAGGCAAGTTCTATGGTGTAACATGCACCTAGGAAGGTTCTGCAGTTTTACATTTACCAAGGCAAGTACCA